TTCTAGAACAACTCTGGTCGTTTTGAGATGAGCCAGAATCACTGAAGAACTTCCCTGGGAGTCAGGTCACCAACCTGCACAAAGCTGCTGAGCTGCATCTGCTATCTGTATCCTCACTCAGTTTCTGGATTTTCAGTGTCTTTTAGTTTTGTTTTTAGAACATGGTTTTCTCCGCCCCCTTTGGGGTTTCCTGTTTTAATGTTTGAATTACCTCAGCTTTGATATGTTGTAGAGAACAGAAAAAAAATATAAGAATTTTAACACACACACACACATACACACACACACACACACACACACACACACACACAAAACAAAAACCCAAACCCAGTGCCTTCTTATACTTCCAACCAGTGGTCTTGCTTGTCATGGAATGGATGGGACCACAGACTGGGCTGTAGGTCCTCGAGGAGCCTAATGCCTGTTTCTTCTGATTGTTTGGGGCACACTTTAATCCTGGTGGTCAGGTAATACACAAGACATAGTTACATATTAAAAAAGAAAAGAAAAGAAAGAAAGAAATGCATTGTGCAGCGCAAGGGTTCAGTACAAAAGTATGAAAGGGAATTTTGCTTTTTTTTTTCTTTTGACAGGCATGGAAGAGAATTAAATCCCCAGTTCCCGGCAAGGACTTTCTTTTCAGCCTCCTCTCACATCCTACACTTCCCAGAGCTGTCTTTGACAAGCTTGGGCTGCCCACCTCCCTTTGTTCTTCCAGTGTGTGGGATGACTGTGTCTGTGGAGGCAGAGAATTCTCTGTCTCTTTCTCTGTTTTCCTGAGTCCCACTCATGCCCTGGCAGGAACCCTTTCTGGGACAGGGAATGGAAGTTGGTGATTGCAGAATTACTGGGAAGGAAGACCCTCTGATACTTCTTCTTCCTTCTGTTCCTCCTTCTTCTCCTTTTCCTCTTCCTCTTTTCCTTCTCTTCCCCCTTCTTTCTCTCCTCTCCCTCCTCCTCCTTTTATTCACCATAGGGTTTCTCTGTATAGCCCTGGATGTCCTGGAACTCATTCTGTATATCAGGCTGGCCTTGAACTCATAGCTCTGCCTGTCTCTGCCTTCCTAGTGATCAGATTAAAGGCATGAGACACCACTGTCCAGGACCTATGAAATATGTTATGTCCAACGTGTTACCTTCTCTCAGTTGGAGAAATAATATTTGACTCAGTAGTAGTTCATCAAAAATTATCCTCATGCTGATTTGCAGTGTCTTGTGGTGGTGTTTTTGAGTTTAATCTATTTATTTGCCTTAGATCTAGATGTGTGTGCATGAATGTGTGTGTGTGTGTGTGTGTGTGTGTGTGTGTGTGTGTGTGTAAGTAGGATGTCAGGTGTCTTCCTCTGTTGATCATTGCTTTATTTATTTATTTATTTATTTACTTACTTACTTACTTACTTACTTACTTACTTAGATATATGGTCTTTCTCTGAGTCTGAAGCTCAATGCTTCGCTAGGCTGGCTAGGAAGTAAGCTACCAGTATCTGCCAGGCTTTGCCAATGCTGGTGTTACAGGCCCGTGTGGCCATGCCCAGCTTTTATGTGGGTTCTAGGAATTAAAAAACAAGTTTTCATGCTTGCATAGCAAGTCTTCTTATCTACTGAACCATCTCTGTTGCTCTAAGAAAAAGTTTAATTTTTTTTTTCTTTTAGTCCTAATTCTAGTTACTACCAGTGCTGATTTGAAAATCCATTCAGCTTCATGATTCACTGATAGGGCAGCCAAGTGCTCAGGTAGGTGGCTTCCAGAACTACATGGCCACTGCCTTTGAAAATTGGCTCTACCATTTATTGGGCAGCTCCCATTAGGTGGCTGCCTAATCTTTTCCTAACAGTTCTCTAATCTACAAAGCAAAGATTATAGCAACCACAGTGAAAATAGCTGCTAGTGTCCGTTGTATGCTTAGTGAGAAAGACACTGTGGCCAGCTCTTCTCTGACATTTCCTTTAAGCCCCACAGCAGTTCTGTGCCTCTGTGTTGTGAAGCTAAAACACGCAAGCATGTATTAAGCACTTGCTGTGTACTGGGACCTGCTATATACTATCTTCTTTGCTAGATTTAGAGATAAACGTGTGTATGGGGCGAAGGGGGTTCCTGTGAGGACTCACTCTGGGCTCCTCTGTGGCACTGTGGGATTCATAGGCAAGAATGATGAAATCCATGTGCAACACTCCTATCTACTTTGTTGCAATGGAACAGACAATTCTTCTATCAGGTTTCGGTGTCTTTTGACTTGGGAACCCTGCCCTACTAACATTACCAGAGAACAGCATGTGCAGACCCTGACCCTGTACAGCCATACCTGTCTCATACATGAACACATGTCACCCTGCAGAGTTCCATCCTACCCACCTCTGCATGACACCCTTCTAGCCACACTAGAACTGTGGTTACGCTTCTTCACCCTTCTTGGCTTGAGTTACTGAATACAAAAATGTGGGCACATAGGATATGGTGTCAGCTGAAAAACGAATGTAAATATATATATATATGTATATTTGTATATATAAATATATAAAATGTGTAGACAAATATATAAATATATATTTTGTATATATATGTGTCCATATGTACTTATGTATGTGTATTTATATATGTATATATTTACATACATATATCTCAGCCATAAAGAATGGATTCATGTTATTTGTAGGGAAATGGATGAAACCTGAGATCATCATGCTATGTTAAATTAGCCAGAAGCAAAAAAAAAGTATTGTGTGTTTTCTCACAAATGTAAAAAGTTACAAAAAAACAAAAAGAAGATGATCTGAAAGAGTGAACTGCTGGGTGAATGGGGGAGGAGAGGGGAGGACAGGAGAAGATGGATACTGTCAGAGCACAAGCATGTGTGGAGCTGTCATGGCAAGCCACCAACATGACTAGTGGTCACCCCAAGTTGAGGGAGACCAGGAAGGGGTGCAGGCCTGTGGTCCAGATTGTTTCACGGTAAGGTGCTAATAACTAACACCTGCCTTCTGAGTAGGCTCATTTTGAGCATAAAGGCAGAAGGCTGGGGCAGGGTCGGGAGAGAATGAGACAGGAGAGAGGAAGAGATGTGGGGAGGAAAAGGCAGGTAGTGGGGAAGACAGCCTGAGGCAGAGAAAGGAGAACAGAGGAGAACAGTTACCTTCAGCCGGTTTTAGGGAAAGGCCTTTTCCTGAGGAGAGAAGCCCCCAGGGGATGGGTGCTACCTCAAATGAATGCTACACAGCAGATGGCACCTGACAGGAGAGGAGTGTCGAGGGCGGTGGCTGGAAGCCATCTGCTGGTCCCTAACATACACATGGGCACCAGACTGTGAATAGCTTCGTGTACTGTAAAAAAGGCCCCTCCCTGAAAAGAAATGTGATTGGCCTGTGCATACCTAAAAACTCATTCTCTGGGTTAGTTCAGAAACACACCCTGAAGCTAGCAATTCTCCGAAGGGTAGAGTCCTCTCAGAGCGGGTCTCTCTCTCTCTCTCTCTCTCTCTCTCTCTCTCTCTCTCTGTGTGTGTGTGTGTGTGTGTGCGTGTGCATGCACATGAGCTCACTGACCTATTCTGAAGCCAGCACTTGTCAGAACTGAGTGTGTAAATCCTCTGATCTAGCATCTTATATTTAATTATCCATAAAGGCAAACTGCCAGGACTCCTAAGGGGCTGCTGGTGATGAATGTGGGGTGCTTGCCAATGCAGTTTGTAGAGGAGGAATGCAGAGCTGCTCAGGTGCTCAGAAGGCAATGTGCGCAGGACCAGCTGCGCTGAAGAGCTGGGCATTCGTTACAAAGAGCACTGTCAGGGCTGAGAAGCGCGCTCGAGACTCTGGCTTCAGCCCCCAATGTTGGCAGAAAAGGAGACAACCTACAAGTCATGTGCACTGTTCCACTTTTCTACGAAAATCTTTACAGCTACCATAGAAGTTATGTATTCATAGACAATCCTATTCTGTGATTTTGACAAGTTACTAAAAATAATTGTGTGTGTCAGAATTATCAGTCGAGAAAAACATCTAAGCTAGTAAAAGTGGAAAACCTAAAATTTAACATCTATAGTAGTTAAACACAGGATAGCTTTCTACTAAAAAACCTTTTTAGGTTTTTCAAATTGTTAAGATTTATTTTTATTATGTGTGTGTGTGTCTGTCTATGTGAGTAAATGCCATGGTGAGCAGGTGTCTACAGAGGCCAGCCTATCAGATTCCTTGGAGCTGAAGTTATAAGTGATTGTGCACCATCCAACTTGGGTGCTGAGGACCAAACTCACATCCCTTGGAAGAGCAGCAAGTGCTCTTAACCACTCTCCATTGAGCCATCTCTCCATTCTCATATTTTGTTTTTTTTTTTTTTAATTTACGTGTATATGTGAATATGTTTCATGTATGTACACGTGTCAGAAGAGAGTGTTAGATCTTCTAAAACTAGAGGTTCAGGGGTGCCCGGAACCAGGCTCCTCTGGAAGAGCACTGTGGTCTTAACCACCCAGCCCCAGCTTTGTGTCTTTAAATAAATAGTTTTGCTAAATTTCTGGGAAATAGTTTGAGCAGCCAAATAACTGCTCTAGCTAGATGGACATTTTAAAAATGTTCTTTTAAGTAATGGGAAGTATATTTTAAAGTTTGCTAGTAGCATTTTTCCCTTATTTGTAGCAAATTCTTTCTTTATTGGGAATATAAATACACATGAAATATCCAGATGACCAAATATGCTGAAATCATGCTTAATGAGAGTTTTACTGCAGTTGGTCACTGGAATTTTACTCAATGATCTGCTGTGGAGGAAATTATTTCAACACAGAGCCCAAGAGGTTTGGCCACCGTTCAGAAGTCATCTTCCTCATTTGTACTTCTGTTCAGCACATGCTCTGGCAGAGTGTGACCAGGAATCTCATGCACATATACGTACATACACAAAAATGTGTCTAAGTCAATGATAGACGCTTTGGGGCAAAATTATCCAATGTTATATGTCCCTTAGGGCAAACATTTAACTCTGATTTGCATGTCTGTTTGTTTTGTAGGAAGTGACCAAGTTCACTCCTGGATACTAGTTATGAGCCAGGTCCTTAGTACTGCCTGGAGAGTAACCAGGGCCTCTGTGATGACGACGTTGTCCCTCCTGTCAGCCATCCTCTGCTACTTCAGAAGTCTGCATTTATATCTGGGGCACCAGTTGAAATGGTGGGTCATCTTGTCACCTTTCCTTTTCAAAAACACCCTTGCCATACCAGAAGATTCAAATATAATTGTTTCCTTTACTTTTCAGGTGGATTGGATATCTACAGAGAAAATTCAAAAGTAAATACTTTGTGCATATGTTTTCTTATTCTTTTTTAAACTTAACTTTATTTTTCATATTTATTTACTTTACATCCCAATTATAGCCCCCTTTCTCATCTCCTCCTCCTCTTGCCCCCTCCCCCATTCTTCTGCCCTATTTCTCAGAAATAGGGAGCCCTCCTTCCCTACCATCTGACCCTGGCCTATCAAGTCTCATTAGGACTGCTTGCATCCTCTTCCTCTGTGGCCTGGCAATGCCCCCCACCACCACCAGGGGGAGTGATCCAAGATCGGGCAACAGAGTCCAAGTCAGAGACAGCCTCTGCTCCTTTTACTAGGGAACACACATGAAGACTGGGCTGCCTATCAGCTACATCCGACCACGGAGTCTAGGTCCTCTTCATGCATGGTCCTTTGTTGGTGCATCAGTCTCTGCAGGCCCCCATGGGCCCAGATTTGTTGGCTCTGTTGGTTTCCTTGTGGAACTGCTGTCTGCTTTGGGTCTTTCTATTCCCCCAGTTTTTGTTTTTGTTTTTGTTTTATGACTCCCTGTGGTCTGCACAAAGTTTGGCTGTGAGACTTAGCACCTGCTTCGACCCCTTCCTGGGCATATACCCAAAAGATGTGCCACCATATAACAAGTACATTGCTCAACTATGTTCATAGCACCTTTATTTGTAATAGCCAGAATCTGGAAACAACCTAGATGCCCCTCAAAGAAAGAATGGATTAAAAAAATGGCACATTTACACAATAGAATACTACTCAGCTATTAAAAACAAGGGAATCATAAAATTTGCAGGCAAATGAATGGAACTAGAAAAGATCATCCTGAGTGAGATATTCCAGACCCGGAAAGACACATATGATATATACTCATTCATAAGCATATATTAGCCATCCAGTACAGGATAACCATACTATAATCTACAGACCTAAAGAAGCTAAGTAATAAGGAGGGCCCTAAGGAGGATGCTCAGTTCTCATTCAGAAGGACAAATAGAATAGACATCAGAAGTGGCTGAAGGGAGGGAACAAGATGGGAGATTACCATAGATGTCTTATGAAAGACTCCACCCAGGAGGGATTGAAGCTGATGTTTTTTTATTCTTAAGGCCAGAGAAGGGTAATGAAAGAAGAGGGATGGGAAAATTAACTGCCTTTTATTTTTTGTTTTGCCCAGGAAACCTCAGTGTGGAGGCAGAAGTAGATTTACTCAGTTATTGTGCAAGAGAGTGGAAAGGAGAAACTCCGAGAGCGAAACTCATGAGGAAGGTTTGTCTGCCTATGGGGGTTAAGGAAAGCAGGCAGTGTCCATCAGAATCACGGTAGTTAGTTCTGCTTTACCAAACCCAAAGGCCAGCCTGCGCCAAATGGGGTGTAAGTTAAGGCTGCAGCCTAAGTTGGAAGCTGAGTAACTGCTGGATGTTGGCTTTAGACCTTGCTCCGGTTTGCTTTTCTGTTGCTGTGGTAAAACACCCTGATGAAAAGCAGCTTTGAGAAGGAAAGGGTTTATTTGGCTCACACTTCCCTGTCACCATCCATCCTTGAGGGAAGCCAGGGCAGGATCTGAAGCAGAAACCATGGAGGAATACTTCTTAATGGCTTTGCTGTCAGGATCTGGCCTGAGCTTACCTGCCTAGGGGTGGTGCCGCTCATGGTGGGCTCGGCCCTTCCACATCAATCCTCCATCAATACTGTTGATTACAGACATGGCCACAAGCCAGTCTGATATGGCCAGGCCCTCCAGTAAGGCTCCCCCATCCCAGGTGACTCTAGGCTATTGAATGGAGCGGAGAGAGCTTCTCACTCTGAGGCTAGAAGTCAGTTAGGCCTGTACCCTGAGAAAACATGAGTCGGACTAAACTGTCCTTAGCTCTCTGCCTCTTCCACTTCTGCATGTGCTGTGGAGACCCTTCACTGGAGGGATCAGACACCATGGCATAAATACTCTGAGGAGCTTTAGAGTTCCATTGAACTGGCCTCGGTAAGTACCCCAATAGTGGTGCCCACTCCTGTCTCAGGCAAAAAACAGGAGATGGAGGCCCAAAGTTCTTTTGGTGTGGTCTTAAAAGTATATGGTTTTTCACTGCAGTTGAGTTGTGTTTATCACCAGCCCTAAATAACCTGTCCTGGTCTTCTAAGATTAGCCAGCTAAATAAAACAGCATGAGGCAGACCCCATACATACCAGAGTCACCGTAGAGTCGTATGCATAGGGCCACTGGAGTGGCTCAAGGAGAAAAGCCTGATGCCATGAGCTCAAGAGAATTCTTCTCTGGCTTCCAGAAGTGCACTGACTTGTGTGACCTGCACACACACACACACACACACACACACACACACACACGCATAAAATAGTGGTAGTTATGATGGTACTAATAAAAATTAAAAACAAAATAGGGTCTGGAGACATGGCTCAGCACTTACGAACACTTAAAATTAGTGCATAGGACCTGAGTTCCATCCCCGTACCTATGTCAAGAGGCTTACAACTAACTATCTGTAACTCCAGCTCCAGGGTATCCAATACTGTCTTTAGGTCTCCGTGCATGCACAGGCACACACATAGACATACATACACCATCTAAAAATAAATCTTCCAAAAAAATTTAAAACAAAGAGCTAAAAATAAAATAAAATTTCATGCCCGGTCATCATTTATCACTACTCCACTTACTTGCGTTACTTGGGAACCATACATAGCCCACTGGAGACCCACTCTTTCAGTGTGCTCGCTAGGGCCTTACTTCCGGTGTGAACACTGAAGCTCGGCGTCCTCTGAGCGCACTGCCACAAGCATCCACTGCAGTGGAGTTCATTCGAACTACCCTTTCATGCTGACAGGCCTATGAGGAGCTCTTCTGGAGGCACCATATTAAATGTGTCCGGACAGTGAAGAGAGACAACTACGACGCTCTTAGGTCTGTGTTGTTCCAGATCTTCAGCCAAGGTCTGTCTTTTCCATCATGGATGAAAGAAAAAGACATCGTTAAGGTACGAGTCCTCACTGGGAACACGGTCAAATGGGGCTCCCTGTCCTGTCTAGGTAGCTTTGTGCTGAGGGTTCCCATGATGAAGGCGCTTTGAAGGTCATTTAGCTAGTTCCCTCTCACACGTCTCTTTGAAGAGGAGCCGTCCCAGCATTTGCTGGTGTTCCCAGTTTTGTTAGTCTTTAATGCTCTCGGCTTTTCTCGAGAGGTGTCAGTCCTTCGTAAGTAAGCTAGTGGGATAATGTGAGCCTTTTTACTATAACACAAATGGCTATTAACAAGTGCAGCGGGTACTTCCACTCCAAAGGTTTTTGGATTCTAATAGGTATATTTTGTTTCTTATTATTTATTTAGGTGTGTGTGTGGTGTGGGGGAAGGGGTGCATGCCATCGTGCATGTGGAAGTCAGAAGACAGTTCTGTGGAGCTGGTTCTCTCCTTTCACCTCTGCATGGGTTCCAGGGATTGAACTCGGGTCGTTGGGTTTGCACAGCAAACACCATCACCCACTGAGCCATCTTGCCTGCCCTCATTTGCTTTTAATGAATAGATGTTGAGTATCTCTTCATGTGCCTATTTGCCATCTATATCATCCTGGAAAATTGTATACTTAAATCTCTTGTCCATTTTTATTGGATTGTTATTTTCTTTCTTTTCTTGTTTGTTTGTTTGTTTTCTGTTTTTGAGAGAGGGTTTCTCTGTGTAGCCGTGTGTATCCTGGACTCTCTCTGTAGACCAGGCTGGCCTTGAACTCACAGAGAGCCACCCTCCTCTGCCTCCTCTGCTGGGATTAGAGGTGTGCACCACACTCCCAGCTGAGTTATGGTTCTCTTATTGTTTTGAAAATCCTTTATATATATTTAATATGAGGGCTTTATTGGATACGTGACTTGCAGATGCTTTCTCCTAGCCTATGGCTTGTTTTATTATTTTCTTAATAGTTTATGGCAGCATATTTTCTTATTTATCCTGTGTATATTGGTGTTTTGCCGGCATGTATGTCGATGCACCATGCAGTGCTTGAGGAAGCCAGAAAAGAGCAATGGGCCCTCTGGAACTGGAGTTACAGATAGTTGTGAGCCACTGTGTGGCAGCTGGGATCTGAACCTAGGTCCTCTGGAAGAGCAGTGCCCTTAACTGCTGAAACATCTCTCCAGCCCAACCATACATTCTTGATTAACAACTTGAATTAATTGTTTTGAATGCAGTATGCCCAATTTAGTATGGCAGAGCAAAGAATATGAAGTATATGTATACATGGCCTCACGTTTGTTTGTTTGTTTTTTTCTTCTTGATGTCTTTTGTTTAAACTTGTTTTCAGCAGCTCTGTTTCTTAGAAAATGTTTGTCAAATATATGCAGTGTGCTAACCCTGCTAGTTAACTAGGATAAAGAATGAGACGCAAAACCTGGGCTGAGCCCCTGAATTTGTGAAATGAGATCCTGACTGCCAGCAGTCTAATCTTTGCATCTTCCAGAATTTAATGTGGAGCTCTGTGGAGTGAGTGGCATTACTGTTCATTTATATTCATTTGTAGCCTCATTAGCCTGCAGGGCAAGAAAGGAGGAAGTACTGGCTAAGACCATTTTCAGCTGATGAGGGACAGCCAGGTTTGGGAGCCAGCTTCCCCGTTGTGTAGCCTACCTGTTGCTTGGTGTGCCCTGCTCTTCTAACAACATTTCGTTATAGACAGTTTCTAAAGGGTTACGTCAGGGCTTATGGTATTTTATCCAAAAAGATTGCTTCTTTGGACATAATCCCAGGGTTAGGTGTTTGTCTAGAATATATGCTAAAAATCACTTAATCCACAAATCTAAAGCAGAGACAACTGTGTGCTTTTTACTTAACTGACTGTAGTCTTTCCGAGGGTTGCTGCGTGAGATAAGATTGTGTGCTGTGGCATTCCAAATCGTGCGAGCTAAGCTTTGAGACACTAATCGTTGTCGGCATCTACTTCCTTTTCAAGCTTCCTGAAAAACTGCTCTTTTCTCAAGGCTGTAACTGGCTCCAGCAGTACAGTTTCGGACCTGAGAAGTATACAGGTCCCAATGTGTTTGGAAAGTTACGGAAATGTGTGGAGTTGCTGAAATCACAGGTGAGCATTTAGGGATGAAAGCACCCATCTCAGATGCATCCAGCTCTCTATCATGTTGGGCATATCCTGTGTGGTAGGGAAATGAAACTGAGTGCAGAAGGCTTCCCCTGGAGGAGGCTTGCTCTTTCTCCTATCAAGTACTAGAGTACTGTACTGTGTGATGGCTTTGCCAGTTGTGGGGTAGGAGCTTCAGTGGCTGCACTGGAAACCTGACACATGAGAGAACTTTGTTTCCAAAATGGCACAATGTCCAGGCCTCAGAAATGCGCTGCTGCAAGCATCCTGCCCACGTGGTGACGGCACAGGTGCAAAAAGTACGCTACCAAGCTCTGCCTGGCTTTCAATCATAAACAGTCTTGGGGTGATGGAGAGTGCGCTATGCTTATCTCTTGCTGGCCAGCTCATCTGGAGGAAATGTCTTTCTGAGTCATAGCTTTCTTCTCCCTGAAGAACTGTGACTGATGTGTAACCTGCACAGTTATCATGAGGGTATGAGTTACTCCACATAAGTGTGTTGCAGAGCGCTGGTTACACACCTCTCTTGCACTGTTCTTTTTTTTTTTTTCCTAAAAAAATTTATTTCTCTGTAAATACAAATTTCAACATCAACAAACAATAGTCCAGTGGAAAAATACTAGCCACTAACATTGAAAACTCTTTTCTTAGTTTAATAAATAGAACTTTGGCATTCAAATTTCTAGCTGTAAACCCTATTCAAAAAAACAAAAACAAAAAACAACTCCTTTCAAAAGAAGGAGGTAAAAACAAAATGTCAGAAGGCATAAGCCAGCCAGTTCTTTACTGGCGTAGCCTTTGCGTGCCCCAGCGGCCACAAGCAGCTTTAGAGGACTGACATGTTTGGTAGTTTGCCAAGTAGTGGTATGTTTATTACATAAAAGTAAGGCTCTTGTGTGTTAGGTTTGTACAGTCACATGTGCCCTCCACACTCACGCCATCCCTGTGCTTGCAGTGGACGGAGTTCAGTGGGATGAGAGATTACCACAAGAGAGGCAGCATGTGCAACATGCTCTTCTCCGACGCCATCCTGGAGTATAAACTGTACGAAGCTTTGAAGTTCATCATGCTTTACCAGGTCACAGAAGCGTACGAGCAAATGAAGGCAAACAAGACCATCCCCAGCCTTTTCAGACTCCTGTTTTCCAGGGAGTCGTCAGCAGATCCTTTGAGCTTCATGATGAACCACCTGAATTCCATAGGTGACATGAGCGGGTTGGAGCAGGTGAGTGGGGCTCCCAGTGTGTGGGTCAAGGATGACTGAGGAAAACTCGAACCCTTGTGCCTCTGGGGCTTATGTTTCGAGTGATGGAACCAACTGCATAGAGGTAGCTGGCTCAGACTGCCAGCCCCATGGGTGTGAAAGAAGAACAAGCCTCATTGCTGGGTGCCAGTCCTGTAAGTCCGAGGACCCTTGGGCCAGAGTCCTGGTTCGTAGTGCTTTGTGACCACGTGGAGACAGGGCCACTCAGAAAGCCAGATCACTGAAGGAAGGCATTAGGTTACTCTGTCACAGACAAAAGTTAGTAAGGACATTAAGATCACAGGATGACAAAGGTCTTCTGCTGTTTTCTGTCCAAAAGGAGTGGTGAATCAGATGGTATCTTTACTAAGAGGTCAAATTGGATGGAAAGAAATGCAATTCTTAATAGCGAACACTCTCCCCTCTCCTTCCCTCCCCCTCTGCCCAGCTTCACCCTTCTCCTCCTCTCTTCTTCCATTCCCTCCTCTCCTTTTCTTTTCCTTACCTTTCTTCCTCTTTTCCTCATCTTCACCTAACTTCTCCCCTTCCCTTCCATTCTCTTTAACCCCCTGAGATAAGTCTTACTCCGTAGCCCAGACTGGTGTGGAACTCACTATGTTTCTAGACTGGCCTCCAGCTCCTGCTATTTTCTTGCTCCAGCCTCCCAAGTGCTGGGACTGTAGTAGCTTGAACATCCCTCTCTGTTCCTCATCAGTTTCTTCTGGCTTCTTCTCATTCTCATGGTTCCACATTCATTTCCACACTATGGTCCCTTGTCCCTAAACCGTGCTCCCTTGCTCTGTGGGTGAGTCTGTCACAAAGCAGGTCACCTCATAAACTGTACCAAGCCGGAATGTGATGGGAGCATAGAAATACATGTCTATGACCTTGCTTTCTTCTTAACCCCAGATTGACATGTTCATACTCGGGTACTCCCTTCAAGTAAAGATAAAAGTGTTCCGACTCTTCAAGTTTAACTCCAGAGACTTTGCTGTCTGCTACCCGGAGGAGCCTCTCAGGGAGTGGCCAGAGATCTCCCTGCTGACCGAGAATGACCGCCAGTACCACATTCCTGTCTTCTAAGTCTGCCGCAGACTGAACAACATCGGCTTTTCTCAGTGACAGTGGTCATGCTTGCAAGGAAAGTGTCTCTGAAAAACCCATGGTACTGTTTCAGCCAAGAAGGACGCCATGACTTACAGGAACACTGGGTGGAGAGAGCCAGCATGGGTCACCTTTCTCTTTCAGTGGTTCCCTCCAGAGCAGTACGCATTTGTTTTGATGGTTGACTTTGTGCATAGGGATCTGCTGGCTTGGCTCTTTAAGACAGAGAAACTTAACATGGAAAAAAAAAACCTGGAAGGTAAATGGCTAACCGGAGCAGCAGGAATTTTTTTTTTTTTTTAAATCTCTGACCTTCATATTCTTTAATAAGAATTTCTCTGTTTATTTGGAACAATCATAAATAAACAGGGCCAAGTTTTGTAAGCATTATCCTTCTGGGAGTCTTTGTTGTTTACTAATTATTTAGAAACACCTGATTAAGGTTAAAATATTGTGTGTGTTTATGTATATGTGTGTTTATATACACTCAAATGTATGTATTCATTTATGCACCTACAGCACAAACAACCGCCGGTTTGTAATCTTGTACAATTTCTTCCTCTCTCTCTCTCTCGGTGCTGTTGAATCTGGCCAGCTTAAATCAGTTTATTTAAATAAAAGTAGATAAATTCTATGGATTTGGACAACTGTACAATTTTTGAGCTGTCACAGAAACATCAAGCGCTGGTTTATTTAACCTGTATTTACACATCTATTTAATGAGTAGAATCTTGGCATTGGCTGAGTAACATCCCAGATACAGAGGGGTCTGTGTCTTTGTCCCAGCATCCCAGAAGACTTTGGCTAAATGGCAAAAAAAAAAAAAAAAAAGAATCCAAGTGCAGGTGGGACTGATGGCTTTGTCCTCTGAACCTGAAGGGAATCCGTCCATCTGGCTCCAGTGTGATGGAAAGGCCCACAAACTGAAGAGGTCCTGTATGAGAGGAAGCTGTGAACTATGGAAGCATCCTTATCCTGGAGGATAGAGGAAGAGGCAGAGCCACTGGTACTGATGTCTCTAGGAGGTAGAAAAGAGCAGAGACAGAGCCTCTTCCTGAGCCCCAGAAGGAACATGGCTGCTCCAGGACCTTGTTCTGGTCTGCTGATAACAGACTTCCAACCTCTTACCTTTAATCCTCCAGGGCCATTTCCACAAACCTTCCTAATGCTTCAACCTGTTCATATAGGTCCTCACGTTGTGGTGACCTCCAACCATAAAATTATTTTGTGCTACTTCATATCTGCAATCTTGCTCATGTTATGAATTGTAATATATATATCTGATATGCAGGACATCTGATAAGAAACCTCTAAAGGGGTCTCGACCCACAGGATAAGAACTACTGCTCTAAGAAAATGGATTTGAATTTAAACCTGGTTTTATTTTGTCTGGGGGTGGGTGAGAAGAAGAGGTTTCTTAATGTAGCCCTAGTTAGCTTGTAACTCACTCTGTAGACCAGGCTGGCCTCAGCCTCACAGATCTGCATGCCCCTGCCTCCCGAGTGCTGGGATTAAACATGTGTGCCACCACCACCACCTTAGCTTGTTGTTTTTAAAAACATGTTGCAGTAGCAACAGAAAACTAGAGTTCTCAGCCTAATTTCCAGTCATCTTCATCTTTGAAGCACTTTTGATTATCTTTATTTTGGAAGTGCTTTGCTCACCTGACTTGGATTTTAAGGAATGCAAATTATTTTTTTTATATCTTGGTAATGATTCATTAATATTTATACTGTTTGAAAGCTGTAGATTCCTTCTTAAGAAATGACATACTGAGCTAGAGAGATGGCTCAGAGGTTAAGAGCATTGGCTGCTCTTCCAGAGGTCCTAAGTTCAATCCTAGCAACCACATGGTGGCTCACAACTATCTATAATGAGATCTGGTGTCCTTTTCTGGCATGCAGTATACATGTATACATAAAAAATAAAAAAATCTTTAAAAAATGACATCTCTAGCAAGGATTTACCCTCTATGCTTGTATGATTTCTTCAGCAAATCAAAGATGTGCCAGACTCCATGAAATTAGCATGTGCGGTCCTTTGCAATGAAGATGTTTGGTTCTTATTCCACATCAACGAGATGTGTGACATTCTATTTTTCTGGATGAAAATTAATGAAATCAGATTAAGAATGTGTCATTGCCTTGTTAGCCCCCAAACCATATTTCTGAGTGGATTTCTGAGGCCCATCCCCTCCCCCATGCATACGTCTGTGTCTATGCATACCCTCTTCCTATCGCCTGAGCTGTCAGAAGGGACTCATGTTACTGTAGCTAAGAAAGATTGATTTTCTGTTCCAGGCAGGCATGGTTACAGGAAGCCACAGGCTGCCATGATTGATATTTACAGACTATATAAAATGCCTACTCTGAACTCTGGGTGCAGTTAAACTCAGGCATACCTGGCATTTGCATGTACCACTCTTTGTGGATTTTTCAGTGTGGTTATTTCTATATCAACACAGAGAGGAAAGGAAAAAAGTTTTCCCTGGGATTAGCCTGTAACTCTGAGACAACCCAGTATTCATATACTTGGGTGAAGGATGGGGTTTTCTATAGGGCAGGAATTTGATTATTTTTACAGAATAAAGACAAGAAAAGCAAATTGACATCTATCTTAGAATCTGCACTGCTGTGGCAGCGTGCCCAAATTAAACACCTTAAGGAGGGAAAGATTATTTTTGACCCTTGGATTCCAAGGTTTCCATACACAGGATTTGGTGCCACTCATTCGGGTCCAAGACAAACATCATGGTGGAAGAAGCATATGGTTGAAGCCCCTTGCCCTTGATAGACAGGAAGTAAAAAGAGAGGAAGTAAGCAGAGATGAGGTTTAACGTTTAAAGGCACGCTCAGGGCTGCGCTGTCCTCCGGCTAGGCCCTTCTCCTAAAGTCTGACTGTCTTCTGAACATTCGGCACCTAGGGATAAAGCATTCATCACATGAACCTACATGGAACACTTTCTCTTCAAGCCACAACAATATTCAAATAGTGGCATCCGAACAAGGTTCTCAGGAAGGAGATACTGGATGTTACTGCCTGTTTTATTTAGTTGTTTAGTGGATATATCAAACTAAGTCGCCAGAAGGATCTTCATGTAAATCGTAGCCACTTTTATACGTCATGCTGACAATAAATGAGAGGTGAACAACTTTCACGATGCCAACATTTAAGCATCCTCCTAACCCTCTATGTTTTAAATGATAAGAGGATTATAGCAAAATTATTTTCTGATTTTACAGTTTCCCAACTGTGTTCATACTGAGGGAAATAGGAATGGTCAAAGACTGGCCTTTTAAAGACTTTGTTTTAGTTTTGACTATGTGAATGTGTATATGTCTATATACAGGTATGTGCACATGAATACTGATAACCAAGGAAGCCAGAGGCATCAGATTTCTCTGGAGCTGGAATTCCAGGTGGTTATGAGCTATCTGACATGGGGTCTAGGAGCCAAACTTAAGTCCTCTGCGAGCAGTATGTGCTCTTAACCACTCAGCCATTTCTCCAGTCCCAAGACTGACTTTTTGTCATGGTGAAATATATATATTAAAATTTACTTCTCAACTGAATTATGGATACAGAAATTGTGGTACGTCTACACAATGGAATATTACTCAGCAATAACAAACAAGAAATCATGAAATTTGCAGGTAAATGGTGGGAACTGGAAAAAAATCATCCTGAGTGAGCTATCCCAGAAGCAGAAAGACACACACGGTATATACTCACTCATATAGACATATAATATAGGATAAACCTAATAAAATATGCACACCTAAAGAAACTAATCAAAAGAGAGGACCCTGACTAAAATGTTCAATCCCCATTCTGAAAGGCAAAGAGGATGGACATCAGAAGAAGAAGAAAACAGGAAACAAGTCAGGAGCCTGCCACAGAGGGCCTCTGAAAGGCTCTGCCCTGCAGACTATCAATGCAGATGCTGAGACTTATGGGCAACCTTTGAGCAGAGTGCATGGAATCTTATGAAAGAAGTGAGAAATAGATCTGGAGAGGACAGGAGCTCCACAAAGAGAGCAACAGAACCAAAAAATCTGAGCACAGGGGTCTTTCCTGAGACTGATACTCCAACCACGGACCATGCATGGAGATAACCTAAGACCCCTGCACAGATGTAGCCCATGGCAGTTCAGTGTCCAAGTGGGTTCCATTGTAATAGGAACAGGGACTGTCTCTGACATGGACTGATTGGCCTGCTCTTTGATCACCTCCCCTGAAAGGGGAGCAGTCTTACTAGGCCACAGAGGAAGACAATGCAGCCAGTCCTGATGAGATCTGATAGACTAGGATCAGAAAGAAGGAGAGGAAGACCTCCCCTATCAGTGGACTTTGGGAGGGGCATGTGTGGAGAAGAGGGAGGGAAGGTGGTCTTGGGAGGGGAGTCAGGAGGGGTTTATGGGGGAATACAAAGTGAATAAAGTATAATTAAAAATTTAAAAAAATAAAAAATATTGCCTTCTGAATAGTTTCCAAGTGAGCAGTTCAGTGGCATGCTCACATTATCACACAGCCATCACCACACTCAGAACCTTTACCCTCTGTCTTCAAGGTAACATTTTCTGTAGAAGACAAGTCTAATTCCCTACTAGTAACCTGGATTTTCTTTACTTTTCACACGTTTTACTATGTCCTTGTAAACAATCTGTGTTTTCTCTATAGGTTCAAAAGATCCTTGAGGGCCTAGAGAGATGGCTTCTTTTGGAAGAGCTCTAATTGCTTTTTTCAGAGGGTCCAACTTCAATTTCCAGAACCCACATCAGGCAGCTCATAACCAACTGCCCATTAAGCACAGCCTCATGAGATCTGGCGCCCTCTTCTGGCTTCTCAAGGCACGTGTACACCTGTTTGAATACACATACACACAAATAATAATAATAATAATAATAATAATAATAATAATAATAATAATAATAAATCAAAACTTTAAAAATTAAAGATTCTCAAAAATCCTAGAAGTCCAACGTGGAGGTTTTGGTGACCAAATGGGTTTTCATTATCTTAAACCAAAGTCACGTGCCTACCCCAGTCAGAGACAAGAGAAAATCACAGGGGCTTCTTCAAGGCCTGGGGAACCCCCAGATAAAGCAGGAGCAGGATGGGCTCACCAGGTAGGGCAAAAGAAAAGTGTGGCTGAGGGACATTCACGTGAACATCCCTAGAATTTTCTAGGAGCAGAGTTTGTGTGGAAACGCTTCTTATTCTCAATCAGATGCTCCTGTCTCATGGAGATCAAAGAAGACAACTTGAACTCTGAAAGCTTTGTGTGGGAAAAGCCCAGAGAGAGAGAGAGAGAGAGAGAGAGAGAGTTCGTGCATAGTGCAGATGCATAGTCATAGGGGCAGAAATGTCCAAGCCTGTTGGAACCCACATCACACCATCACATATAGCCCAGATGTTAGATATAGAATTATGGGCCTTAATGTCTTAACTCCTGATCTTGCTTTAGATCAGTCTTTCCTTCCTCCTATCTTCTCACTTTTATAATGGAAGTGTTTATTTTGAGCCATTATGTTTGGGAAGTATACAACATTTTTTTTTCTTTTATAGGGATACACAGACTTGTCTTGAGTCTCAAAGAATAGTTTGGACTTTTGAACATTATTGAATTCTTTGCACAGAGAAAATCTTGAGTTGGACTGAAGATTTTTCATTATGAAATGGCCATAAGCCTACATAGGCTGCGGTCAGAATGTCAAAGTTTGAATGCGAAATACCCAACACACACACACACACACACACACACACACACACACACACACACACAGATTCATATGTCTGACCAGGTGACACTTCCCAGCTAGTGGTGCCATATGGGAAGGTTATGGAACCTTTGAAATATGGAGCCTGGCCGGTAGATGTGAGTTGCTGGCTGTGAGCCTTTGAAGGTTATACTCATCTGTGATTGCTGCCTCCTTTCTCTACTTCCTGCCCCTGTGACCACAACAAACCACCTTATCCGTACATTGACCTAAAGGCAGAGCCACTCCTACTGCCTTCCCCACAATGATGGCCCCAACTCCCCTGAGGCTCTGAGCCAAAACACCTCTTACCTCCCTTAAACTGCTTTGTGAGATATTTTGTCACAGTGGTGAGAAGAGTAACTAATAAATGTGCTTCTCCACTGGAAACTAATAAACATATCCTTACATAATGAAGAACGTATCATCAACATACAATTCATACCTAGCAAACTCCTTTTAAAATCTTTAACTTAGGGTGAACAAACCTACCCTGAGGATGTTGTCGTCATCAGATCTGCTCTGTAACTAATGTTCAAGAAGTTCTTCTGGTAGAAGAAAATGAAACCAGATGGAAACAGCCACACAAAGAAGGAAGAACACTCAGATTCTCAGCACCCTGTCCAGGCTGACCTTGAACTCATGCTGTTCTTGTCTCAGTCTCTGGACAGAATGCAGTATTCCCTTAAAATTTTATGTAACAGGATGCTAGAGGATTATTTGAAATAATCCTCAAAGGTTATACCCACCTGTGATTGCTGCCTTTCTTTATTTAATTAGAATGTATGCTATGAACATCACAACCAAAATAACCAACTATAAACATAACAAACCAATAGTAGGAAATAAGAAAAAGACCAGAACAAACAACAGAATGGTAGGTGTAATCTCAACACAGCATTGATATGTAAATAATAAAAATTTTCCAATTAAAAAGAATGGATTTGATTCAATTGATTAAACAAAAGTTTTGATAAGTTCTGAACTGGAAAAATGCAACATGCAGAGTTGACATATAGAAGTTTAGTTTTAATGTTTGGGAAGAAGCATATATGTGTGTGAATCAGCCCCCTCTCTGTGTGGATTCTCCATCCAGAGATTTCTATAACACATGTTAAAATTATAAAATATGTAGTTAGAAGATGTACACATTTA